CACCGCCATGGGTCAGACGCGCTGAACTATGCGGCAAGAGCTCAAAGAAAGCCGTGTCTTGCAAGGATGAAATCTTTTTCAATACGTGATGCGTCGCATTCCTCGAATCGAAAAAAGATGCAATGCATTCCAGTGCTGAGCTGTCGTTGTCAGGGCTCTTGGTTGACGCCTGCTTGACCTGTCCAGAGCTGTACCATTCGCACTGCAGCTTGCGACGTGAGGCCATCGGGTTGGAGATGAGTGAGCTGCATGGGCCATGAAGCTGCTCGTATCACGAAATGACGAAGTTGCCAACCAGCGCTGCTGCAAACTCCCACATGGTGTTGAGACCAGAAGCAACGGGATCCCTCTCTGAATGTTGTTAGGACCGACTCTGTGTGGTTTCGGCAAAGGCACAAACAAGAAGTGCAACATGCGCGGCTTTCATGATCATGATCATGATTTGCGATGAGCATCGATGAGCAGAATGCAAATTGCCTGCTGCCAGTTTCTAAGCCTCAAGTCGAGATTCGCAGCTGCCTCGCAGACTCATCATGGTCTTCCAGTTGCCCTATTACGGTTTGTCTGTTTGTCATGTGTCTGGCTTCCTATTTCCAGCACGGCTGTGAACGCCCAAGGCCCGACAGACAATGCGCAAGTCGCGAGGCGCAGCAGCGTTCGCTGTTGCCGCGCTGAGTGCCTGCTATTTGGCCATGGCCTTCGCCGCATGGCTGAACAGAGCCTAGGATGTCTTATCTTACTGTGACATCATGCAGCTGCCAGGTGATGCCACCTGCAGAAGGCAAAAAAAACATGGCTAGAAGCAGACGCATGTTGTCCCCCGTGACCTGAACGTTCTGTTACATCCCACAAGCCGTCCAGGCCGTGGGGCAGGCCGACGCGAGGCCCTGCTGGGCCTGGCAGGGGCGGCCGCGACCCTGTCTACAGAGTCCGCGCAGGCCTTCGAAGAATCAGGCTTCGTCCGAGCTGAACGCGCAGCGCTGATGTGCGCGGTGATCTGACTGAGCACAGCACAGGCCAATGGA